TTGCCGTGGTATCATTGGAGGACGACGATCTTGATCTTTGGAGCAAGGGGCCTAGATCATGTAGGTATCTCCGCGTCTGCCAGATATATAAGACACTGAGAGTTGTTTCTTGGACGAAGAATGCCGTAGTTTGCAGGCGGTCCCACACGTTGTTGATAGGGTAGAGGGATGGCTCAACGGTTTGCTACGGGTGGGTTGGTCAGCGACGATCGCATCCTTCGACAATCGGTAGATGGTAGGAATGATACACACCGTGAGGATTCCCAATGGAATGGTTGTGACGCCGAGGATGATAGAGTCGAAAGTCAATATTGCCCGTACCCAGTTGAGTATAGAACGTTGTTGTGTTATGAGATGAAGTCGAGAGTACAAAATCCACGATTGAGGAATAACCATGATAGCCCAGGATAAGTAGATCATGGTGATAGACCCTTTCATGTTAGTCCATATTCCGAAGTCTGCCAAAATAATGAATAGCGTTTGCAGGATAACGCCCCATATTCCGAGAGCGCATGACCAGAAGTACAGACCGCGACGTCGTTTGAACATGAAGAACAGAGACAGGCCAATCTCGATGCCGATATACCAGGACACGCCAGCAAAAGCCGCCATGGCCAAAGCAACGGAAACATTCTCCTCGACAACATTCATGTTGTTGGAAGTCGACTATGCGCAAGCGTCCATCCCAGCTTCTTCGAACTTCACTGCGGAGAGCCTGCAGAAAGGATTCAGCTCTAAAATAGGAACTATTTGCTCATTTCACCGTATCGCAATGTTGGAATAGGCTTTATGCTCTATGGTTGCTATAAACGAAGAGGACGCAGGGCCAGTCTAGGTAATGAATGAGTCGAGTGATTAAGTCGTCTGTTTGCTCGATGCAAGAGATGCATTTCGAGCATGGATAACCATGTCCGAGTAACAATATCGAAAAGGCAATTTGCAGGTTGTGTCACGTTGGGTAGCGAATCCTCCGAGATCTAGATACCTAGAAATAGGACGAGTGTAACAAGCCGTCGCTCGAAATGGATCTCTGTGAAACGAGACACGATCGCCCTCGACTTACTTGCTTCGCCGTTAGCATTGAATCCAATCCAAGACTTTCAGTCAAGGTTAAATATAGGTAGGTAACCGATCACTGAAACGACTCAGATGTGAGTCTCGTGTTATTTTCATCGTTGTGTTCTCTAATACCTGCATGTAGATAAGTACTCGAGATCATCGCCATGGCCCGTGTAATCGCTTAACTTGCCCGGTTTTGCAAGGGGTGGGATACACAAGCTCAATGAGGCGTAAACCCCTCAATTACAATCATTTTGACTGGTTGAAGTTGTATGCATGTCTGAGACCATTGGTTATTTAAAGGGTTTGAACATTTCAGCTGAAGGGATCGAAGCGTCTATCGTCCTGTCGTCCTATTATTATATCGTTAAAATCAATACGTGTATTCAGTACTCAGGTGTACTTACAATAGATCCATGTAGGTACCGTCTCCCATGTTCGTGCCATCCGAACGTAAGCCGGAGCACATGAGCGGCACAGCGTGTGGAGGTAAGCAAGGGTGTAAAATAAATTAGAGGTGATGGTGAGCTGTTGCTGTGCTTCGCTGCGTTGTGCTACTGATCAATTACGGAAGCGGGGTTGACGAGTAACTGCAGGTGGTGATATAGGGAAGCTACGAGGCATGAGCATGAGCCATTGCCATCTGTACTTGTCAATCTAAACTCTTTCGAAAATCCAATTTGATTACCTATTGCCCTTACATCTTTCTTTCTCCTTTTTTTTCAAATCTTCCCACGATAACCCCCAAAAACGTGCACATCTCTCATCAATCTTCCGACCAACAACGCAACAATTAATTATCTATCCCACCTCTCAAAATGGCAACGACTTCAAAGAACTCGGCCAAGGAGATCATTGCCGCTCTCAAACTGTTACCTCACCCGGAGAAAGGCCACTTCATCGAGACCTTCCGTGACGAGCACAGCACTTGCATCTACTACCTGCTCGAGGGCGAAAGCGGACTCTCGCACTGGCACCGCGTCATGACCTCCGTCGAGACTTGGCACTACTACGCCGGAGCCCCGTTACGTCTCTCACTCTCTCATAACGACGGCAGTCCCGTGCGAGATGTTGTACTCGGCAACGATGTCTTGAAGGGCGAGCGTCCACAGATCGTGGTGGAAAAGGCCGAATGGCAGCATGCTCTTAGTCTTGGCGACTGGACTCTGGTCGGCTGCACTGTTGCGCCCCCTTTCACTATGGAGGCTTTCGAGATGGCTGAGCCGGGTTGGGAACCCAACGAGAAGGGAAAGAAATAGACGGGCGAAGGAAATGAGTGTGTGTGAAAGAGTTGATGTTGAATTTCGCGATGCGTTATGAGAAGGAATGAAATCTATAGAAACTCATGTGTGTGTGTGGGTGAAGCCGCAGAAGCTGGAATGCAACCATACAGTTGAAATCGCAAGTCAGTTCAGTTCAACCGAATACTTGATCAAAATCTCGAGTTTCTATGCACATTAGAAAAGAAGAAAAAGAAAATACTAGCTTAATAGTCTCGAAATGCAAACAACCGTCTGGAATTCGCCTCGATGGTAACTTACATACATATCCTATGGTTACCTGCAGCGTAGCACCCAATGCCACATCAACACCCAAGTTCCCGTCTATTTAAAACCAACCCCCGGAATACGGAACACACACTTGAACTCATCAAGGCGGCTGAATGCATGTACAATTCGCGACCGGATTGCTGGAATAGGGGGTAAATGCCAAATGGAGGGATGATTCAGAATTGCCCCACACCAGCTTCTCGCCTAAGAACGGAATTGGAATTGCGTGATTGGCTTTTCTCCGCTTCAACATCCTGTCAACTACATCTTTCATCTAACTATTAATCTGTTGGCATATACTTCATCACAGGATGCCATCGACACCAGACGCGGAAGATGGCGCCTCGAGGCCTCTGCTCGCCGACCAGAGAGAATCGCAGAACGCTGGCGAAGCGGAGGGCAACGTTGCCCCGCCGTCAGCCCCTCGCGATGGAGGCACGTTTACTAAGAATCTCGGCGCTCTTGAAGCCTTTGCTATAGTTATCAGCATAGTTATCGGAAGCGGTATCTTTACCTCACCGGGATCTATTGATACCAATGTTCCATCTCCGGGGTCTGCGTTAATTGTTTGGCTTATTGGCGGCGTACTTGCCTGGACTGGAGCTTCAACTATGGCTGAGCTGGGAACCGCAATCCCAGGTGAAGGTGAGATAGCACTACTTTTTTAAATCCCCAAAGTGCCTGCAGATTTATGAACAGCGACTCATTTGGATAATAGGAGGAGTTCAGCCGTACCTCCAATACATATTTGGAGACGTATTTGGCTTCCTAGCAGCATGGACGTGGATTGTAGCCGTTATGCCAGCCACACTGGCCATTCTCAGCATCGTATTCGTCGAGAGCATTTACTCGGCTATGGGAGTTACCGACCAGGCAGGAAGAATTGAGCACAAGTTATTCTCCATTCTGATCTTGGTCGTCATCAGCGTCGCGAACTCCATCAGCACCAAAGCCAGCACTCGTCTGAACAACTTCTTCGTGGTGACCAAATTCATCAGCATTGCAGCAATCGTCATCGCAGGTATAGTAGTAGTAATCCTCCAGGCTTCCGACCCCGATCGGGATATTGGAGGAAGAGACTGGTTCAGAAAACCATGGTTTGGGAATCGGGAAGTAACTAATCCGGATGGGAGTAAGACGGATTTCAGTGAGCTAGGTGAATGGGAAATACTTGGTCACTACTCTGCGGCGCTGTACGGAGCGTTGTGGGCTTATTCTGGGTGGGATAAGGTGAGTTTATCCAGTCCTGAAATCGTTCGGGATGTATTACTTATAAGATTCGGCAGGCAATCTATGTCTCAGCTGAACTTCAAGCGCCGGCACGTCAACTACCTCTTGCTATCAATACCGCTGTCCCGACGATTATTCTCTGCTTCATCACAGCCAATGCAGCTTACTACATTCTCCTCCCTTGGGACGTTGTCTCCACGACGGATAGCGTGGCAGTGGTGAGTCAGGCGTCTAACGCTATACAGTTTTTCTATTTTAGAGCTAACACTTAGCCAGACTGCCATAACTCGCCTACTGGGACGTGGTTTCGGTATTGTCGCTGCAATTTTGATCTGTTTGGTCGTCGCCGGCTCTCTACTTGGCAACTCATTCGTTGCCGGTCGCATGGCAGTAGCAGCAGCCAACCTGAACTGGTTCCCTCGCTTCTTCGCATCTGTTGGTCGCATCGGGGTGAAGCCAAGGACAGATGAAGAGCCGGTCTCTTCATCCCCCGATGATGGACATAACTCTTCGCCCATCACACAATCAGATGCCCCCATTAACGCCATCATCCTCTCAGCCGCTCTCTCGGCCCTATACATTCTGCTCGGGAACTTCCGCGCCCTTCTCACATTCAATGGATTAGGCGAATATTCGTTCTTCTTCCTAACAGTCCTCGGGGCAATCGTCTTGAGATTTCGCGAACCCGGGCTCCGTCGGCCGTACAAGCCGTTCATTCTGGTCCCGGTAGTCTTCGCCATCGTCAGCGGGTTTGTCGTTGTTAGAGGTGCCTTTTTCGCACCGGTGCTCGCGCTGGTGGTCATTGTTGTATGGGTGATTGGCTTGGGCTTTTATTGGGTGAGAAAGCGATTGGCTGCTAGACAGGTGGAATAATAGCGACCTCGCGCTTGGGGGAGTTTATGTTAAGATGATGTGAGAGTACCTATAATTGCGTATCATTGTTTCTTCTATGACATCGGTATACGCCTGATCACCCATCTACTTCTATCTAGATTTAAATATAACAATAGTGCATCTTTCTATGGTGCAATAGGGTAATTGAATGAAAACCTTAGGGCGCCTTGTAGCGATTTGGAGAAACGCCTAGGATAATTATTTACATAGATCGCTAGGCGCTTAACTACTGCGCGCGCCATGTGGGCAAAAGCAAAAAGTTTGGCTTGACCCAGACCCGATTTGAACGGATAACCTTTCGATACCTTCTCCTGGAGCAAGATTTTGAAATCAAGACTCTGGAGTCGAACGCGCTACCGTTGCGCCACTAGGCCATGCAGGATGCTGATTGAACACATCCTTGATTGTGTCTTTTTGGCAAATAACAACGTACTTATGTCTATTTTACCGCACATGGCTCATTCCTCGGGATAAATGGCATACCCCAGAAACCAACGACTAGTCTAGAGAAAATAGCGAACGTCTCGGATTAATTGTCTAACGTGTCTCTCTCTCTCTGTGATTCATCGCGACGTTTGAAATGTCAAAGTAAGGGACGGGTTGGGGGTCAAAGGTCGTGTACCATCACACCAAGGTGAAGATAGTTGATCCATTTTATGAAATACCGGCTGAATTCGTCTAATTAGTCAACCTCTTTCCCAATGTTCATTATATATTAATTGGTATTATTCATGTAGCGCTGGTGGATCTAAATTCTCTTCCATGTCCCTGCATCATGGCTGGTTGTGCATGATATTGTTTCCTATGTCCAAAACCACCTCTCAAAATCCAAGAGATGGTTCTGTCTAGCGTTCTTCGGCCTCTCGAATGTTCTCCAGCATGGATCCGTTTTTCGATAATATCCTTGTGTCGACATTTTGTGCGTCTACTAGAGCATCAGATTGAGGCTCCTCATCCTCCGACCGGTCGTCCTTCGCGATGCCTTTAAAGATAAAGCGATAGGCGTTGCGCAACAGGCAGTATAGCCAGAAAAGGTTAAGAGCCTGGAGTGAGGCTAATAGCGTGAAAGCGACAGACTTCGAGATCCAGCACTTGTACTGCTCAGTTTCCCAGTTGAGCTCGTAAGGACCAACAGTGCTGAATTCCGTCAGGATCGAGTAGAGAATGCGCAAATTCAAGTAATGGCGCAGGTAAGTCCACATGACTATGCATAAGCCGAAAGATGGCCCTTGGAGAGGGCTGCCGATGTAATTCAGTGATTTGGATATCTGTAAAAAGGTGCGTTAGTATCTTCATACCTGTTATGGTACCAAAACGCTATACTTACAGCAAGGAAGAAATCACTAATATCATGAGTTATATAGACAGCGATTCCGACGTATGTAAAGTGAAACCTATAGCTGAGGCCGATCAGAGCTATGGTAACAATGTGATGTGTCACCAACTCGTTGAAGTCTTTACGCCTCTTCTCTATGCCCAGTAGCATAACAAGAGCCTGCTGCATCCAGAACGCGGCTTGGAATAAGTAGTAGAACTTGAGCGCGGCTTGATGCGTCGTGTGCGGGAAATATTCGTACATTCCTCGCGTGTTGAAGTACCAAACCGGTGTCTGCTTCAAACAATACACGCCAAAGGGGCCGATGAACGCAATGTACGTTGCTACATACATCTGCTCCGTGAACCGCGCTTTTTTCCCTCGAGCTTTTATCCCGCAGCGACGTGCCAACGGGCCTAAGAGTTCGTGTACGAGGAATTCTCTCGCGAATGATAAGACGACTGTGTAGAAACAGACAAAAGCCAAGTCCCATGGCCCCTTGCCATACTGCACTGGGCCATTGTGAGATTCTAGGCCGTACGAAAGAAATATGAAATGGCGAGTTATGTTAGAATTGGTCGGATTGATGGCGTAAAGTAACAGAACGGCTAGTATGATGGCGAGAGGCAAAGTCCATGAACGGCGTAGGAGAGATCTTGGGAGTTTCTTCCGGCTTGTTCGTCGTGAAATGTAATTGGGGCTTGGAACCGACTTCTTGTTCCGTTGGGATGCGACTTGTCTTTTCCTCGTGTGGATGCGCTCGTCCAGAGTATTAAGTAGTGTGCTATCGGAGGAAGCCATGGTTGCGGGAGGTTAGTGGTCGAACTTGATTCCGACACAGCCAAGATTCAGAGATCTCTGAGTAGAAATGACTGAGTAATAAATACTCTGCCTATCGTTTTATCTTTATCTCTTTATTGCTTCTAATGTCTGTTTTACATCGTTCAGAAATTGGGCTCGAAAGGAGCTCGCGTGAGGCCGGCCCCGAGATGGTGTAATTCGGATTCCGCGGACGGCGTCTTACGATTTCATTTCCGTTTCTTCCACGGGTTAATATTTTCACCTTTTATCAACACCGGAATACCGTGGTAGAGTCTCGGAGCTTGATATTTCAATGCATACTGTAAATGCAATTCTCCTCCTTATATCGTAACTCTGTTGTTGTTCCCGGTCCTTGGATTTTCTCCATGCAAAGCTTCCAAGTTATAGCTTAGGTGGATCTAGACAATCGCTATTTTACAGAGGATCGTGCGCCCTATATACCTCCTAGCCCAATACTGTTTGCGCCACGACTTGGGAGTTCCCTCACTCCTCTATCGCTGTCCCTCTAAGGCTTATATACTTGCGATGCATGGTGAATGACTACGCCCATGTTGACATCGGGTTTGATTGACATGGAGCTAGACTTTGCTTCGATATCTAGCTGACCGTAGCAAAAAGACTGCTAAGATATCTTTAATCGATTTGTTTCTCGCATCCGATCCGATTCAGCAACTCTTTTCGATCGCTATGTCCCGGGACAGTAAATCCGCTCGATCGAGTAGACCCCTTTACGCCCGTACGTCGCTTCCATACTTCGAAATCAATTTCTTCAACACCGACTTCCTCCTCGATAGCCAGTGATTCGTCCCGTTCCAGCAGTTCCTCTTCTTCCTCATCCTCCTCGTCACTTCTAACGTCCTCGGCGTTATCACCTTTGAGCACCCGAACGGCCACTTGAATGATAGATACGGACCATACGATCATCACCGTGTGCAGCAATAGCAGGAATCCTAGGAAGCCAAATCTGATGCCATCGTTCATGCAAATAGTTCCCTCGGGATCGCGGAATGGTTCAAGATATGCCCATCCGTCAGGGACTGAAAATGGGCCCTGGATGTTATCTGCACTGCCCTTGTAACAAGATGTTGGCATCAACCTAGGTGTATCAGAGTAGACACTCCAGCACGTCATGAGATAGAATACGTGACGAGTCAGAAACCATGCTACCATAAATATACCAAATACAATGTCGCACGCAGTCGTGAAACCAAGGTATTTAAGACATTTAGCAAGCTGTTGAGTATAATATCAGCATGTGGAAGTTACCTTCAAGCATCGAGCGAAGGCAGGGTCCTTACAGGGAAAATTAACTCAATGGCGTCCATCAGAACCAAGATCAAGTTACCAACACGTGTCTGGTGGTAAGCGTATGCTGAGGCAATCAGGGAAACGGTAGTCAAATGATGAACGATCATCTGCCAATAATCCTTCCGCCGGGCCTCGATATTCACAACAAGGAGCTGTTGGGTCCAGTAGGAGCACTGGGCCAATATGTACCCTTTCATCAACTTGGAAAGTTCTCTCTGGGGCCAATTCGTCCACAGTTCTTCCATATTAAGAAAATACGGCGAATTGAAATAGATGTACTAGAAAAAGTCAGCTATTGTTAAGATTTGCGATCAGGAGTGTACTACCATGCCGAGAGACCAGAAGACAGAGTTATACATCAGCATCCATCCCTGTTCAGAAAATCTAGTAACATCCTTTCTTTTAGAGATTCCCCAGCGCCTGGCCAAGGGTCCCAGAACATATTGCATCAACACTGCGCGAATACCGGTAAACAGTGCGATGCAAAAGACGATGAAGTAGCCATCATCAGGACCAGCAGCATATCTCCCCGTGGCAGGATTGAAGTAAGATAATGTGAAGAATTTAGACGTAAGTGACCTCGCCCTCGGCACACCAATGTGAGTAAGAAAAATACCGAGAATCAGATTGAGCGGGAGGGCTGTTGGGTGAGCCGGCGAGTTAGCGATGGCTCAATTTCTGATTCCCGAGATGCGGGGAGGTCAAGAAGAGGCGGTGACCAACGATGGCATCTTCATTGCGACGTACCAATTTGATTTTTCGATAGCCAGTGGGCAAAACCTTTAGGCGAACCATGGCCTGTTTTTATCTTGCTTTGAACCATGTTGTTAGTACTATGGTCCATCGTGTTTCTTCACGTTGAGGTGGTTGAGTTGGTCCTCGTTGGGTTATAGTCAGACCAGGTAGCTTTTTTTTCTGAAGCTGTTGAAATAAAGGGATTGGTGTCCTTATCCCCCTCCCCCTATTCTTACTACAGCGAAGACAAGCTAAGGTTCTAAAAAGTGGGAAATGCCAGGTTGTTTAGTTCCAATTAGAAGCAGTATCAACTAAGCTCCGCCACCCCTGAGACGTAATTCGGCGGATAGCTTGTCTTTCTTCCAATGGAAGTTGGATCTAATAAATACTGGCAAGGTGATTGGTCAATGGCAGAATTATATAACATCAAGTCTTTCTATCTGGTAGAAAACTGTTTATGGCTCAATTATTTATACCTGCGTTTCTTTGGACGGACAAAATTAGTACCATATTCTCTAACACACTAATGCCATAGGGGAAGTGTTTAGGCCCTCATCGACGGTTGATCAAGCCCCCATGGCCAGCAATTGGCGCTAGCTCTAAGCCCCTAATTCATCAACTTAGGAGGCACCTAACACGGTGGCCATAGCCCTTGTTCCTCCTCAGAAAAAAGTCCATCATCTGGAGAATCAAATCTTGACCCTATGAATAATCGCTGATTCTTTTTCGGTTATCATTCCACTGTAGCATTGATTAGCGGTTAGCAAGAAAACTCCAAATAAATAGTCTTGGGGGTCGACATGTCTTCAAAAGAAGGCTAAAATGAAAGATACAAGAGCAGTCATATGGTTACATACCAAAGCTGCCAACACCGTTCTCTCACCCGTCCAGGGAGACCGCGAATGCATCACAGCATAGTTCTGTCAAGTGTTATTTATCAGTCACTCAACCACGACATAAAAACTTACATCAAGTAGAACTATATCTCCAACCTCCCATTTTACCAACACCTGTAGAGACTCTGCCAGGTCGAGTGCCAAATCAAGGTATTCTTTCTCTATTGGTGTTCCATCACCATATTCTGGTGGCGGATGGTATGAGTCGTCGTCGCCTCGATAAGGGGGCTCTGTCGCTCCGTGGTGCTTGCTTCGACCCCATGCACTGGTGACATTGCCGAACCAGGTTTTAAGTCCG